CCGCGGACGTGGGTTCTAGGGCAAACTCGGGGCGTTGTTTCTCTCAAAAGAAAGAAAATCTCTATACAAACCGCCGAGCCGATGTGATGCAAGAAAGAAAAGAAGAAGAAGAAACGGGTTGTCTTTGGAGAACCTCGCCTTACCATCGCCCGGACCCGTCTTGGAAGAGAAGAATGATGCAGCGAGGACAGCATTTTTTGCTTGCAAGCCGCACACACACACACAAAAAGAGAGGAGGGGGGGGGGGTTCAGGGACACTTTTTTTTTTTTTTTTTCCAGACCATTGGGTTCTGGACAGTGTCATCCTTTTTCGTTGTATGAGCCACCATGTATTCAGATCGATGCACCTACCCATATACTCGGAGGGAATCTTTCCCCATTGATCTTTTTATTTTCTGGTTTGGGGAACAAATTCAAATGTGAGCTGTGCCTTCTTCGTCACGCTTGTTGGATTTGGGCACGCGCGCGATTCGCATCGGTGAAAGTAGCAGAGCATCAAGGCCGTAGGCCGTAGCAGCCCCGACGAGCGAAAAGATGGGTTGTGTGCGGTTTTCAAAGACAGCCAACAGAGGCATCTTTCGCGCTTTCTGACGCAGCAAGTCCGTCCCTCCTTTCTTCTTTCTTTCTTTCTTTCGGTTCTCTCAAACCCCTTTTATACATGTGCTGTCCGACTTGACTGGTATTCATGGCGGGTGATGCAGAATACACACACAGAGTGCCCAGGGCAAGGGGGGCCGGGAGGCGAAAGGAGAAGAGGAAGCTGGAGGAGGGAACCAGAAATGATGGCTGAAGGAGATTTTGTTCTGCCTTGAGGCCTAAATGCGGCTTTTGTGGAAGCAGATGCATGCCATGTTTGCTGTACATCAGACCAGACATCAGGACCAAGACGAGAACGAGGAGAGAGCCGGGAGGGAAGATGACGTTTTGAAACGGGACGTGATCCGAATATAAATAGTATGTTATAAGACAGAATAATATAGATAGTTAAATTAAACAATAGCAGCAAGAAAAGAAGGAAAGGAAGAGCAAGAAGAGGAGAAAAAAAAAGCAAAAAAAAAAAGTAAAAAAAAAAAAGTAAAAAGAGAGTAGAAAAAGTAAGAAAAAGAGTAAGAAAAAGCGCAAGAAGCACAGAACCCCCCAACCGCAACAAAAACCAAAAAAAAATCTGTCCCCGGTGAGAGTCGAACTCACGACCTTCGGATGACCCCAACCTGCGGCTGGATCATATCGCATATGAGACCGACGCTTTAACCAACTAAGCCACGGAGACCGTCTTTGATGCCCTCCAAGCCCAGTATTTCTCACCATGAAGCTCTGCATCGCTCTCTCTGCAAGACTCTGCCCCCCACGCACCCCCCCCCCAAGAAAAAGACAAGAAAACAGAAAAAAGAGAGTTGAAGTTGTCGGTGTTTTTGTTACTCATTCAAAGCGACGACACGCATAGGAAGAAGGGAAGAAGGGAAGAAGGGAATAGGCGGGGGGGGGTATAGATTGCTTGCCGTGAAGTCCGGTCTTGGCAGCTGAGATGCTGATCCTACGTACCACGTACTACGTATCCCAGGGATGCGCACGACGATGGGCCACGGTTTCGGGACTCACGGACTGGACTTTTGTAGCGTAAGTTCGCTTTCCCAAATCCCCATGTCCTGACCTCGTCTCTTTTTTATTTATACAGCATTCCACATATATACAGCATCACACACGCGTCCCCTTCCTCCATCCAAGGCCAAGAGCCCAGGACAAGGCCATCCATCCATCGGAACTGCATCTCCGCACAACCTCCATCTTCCCAGACACCACAACCCACGACACCATCTCACGCCCAAACCACCCCGTATATCCATCTTTTTTTTTCGCACAAGACATCAAAAATCCCCAGCGCTGGTATTGTTGCTCGATTAGCTGCATCTTTGCACAAGAGCACCCGCACCCGTCCTCGTGTACCATGACATTTCGGTTTGAAAAGAAAGCAAAACGAGACAAATCCCCAACCCAGTCCAACAGTACAAAAAGAAAAAAAGACTGGTGGAAAAAAGAAAAAAAAAATAAAACGAAGAAAGAAAAAGTTTTTTTCTACACTGAAAGAATGTGCATATGCCGACATTGGTGGTCTTGAACGCGTCCCCGGCCGTTGCCGCGGTGTAGCCAAACGCTGGAGCGAAATCTTCCGTCCGTCTGGTAGAAGAGGGAGAACAAAGAGAAAAGAAAGAGAGGGAAAATACCGCCCAAACCTCGCGCCAGATAGTCTATAATCAAACAATTTTGGGGGGGGGGGGGGGCTCCTGCTGCTCCCCGTATGCTCTTCTCACACAAAGAAAATGAAGGGAAAAAAAGAAGGAGAGCAAAAGCAAAGACCAAACGACCAAGCGTGGGCCTGTTTTCTTTTCTTCTCCGATACGAGACCTCAACATCGTCAATGGTGATGCTGAGCATCACCCTGCGTCAAATCACTCCCCCGCCGAGTCGACGACGCCTGAGAGGCCGTCTCGGTACTAGAGCAGCACCCCTGCTCCTGACATTCGTCAATGCAGCCCAAGAGACAGGCAGCGTCACCGCCAGCGGCGTCCGGCGCACCGTCCATCCGCAGGGCCGTGGCGTCCCCCGCGAGTCGGCGTTGCGCGTCGAGACAGAATTCGGGCTGGATGGTGGCGCTGTGGATGCCGTAGCCGTGGAGACACCTCCGGGCCCTCTTGGCCAGCTGCATGTACTTTTCGCCGCTGTGCTCGTTGATGGGGAAGGCAACTTGCAGATGCATGCTGGCGACGACCTTGGTGTCGGACAGTTGCCAGACGTGAATGTGATGGCAGCTGACCACGCCCGGAAGACCCTCGATGTCCTGGCGGATTTCTTGGATGCTGATGTTCTCGGGCGTCGCTTGGAGAAGAACCCTGGCCGTGGCTCGGGTCAGGGGAATCGACGTCTTGAGGATGATGGCCGTGATGAGGAGTGACACGGCGGGATCAAAGTACAGCTTGCCGGGCCAGTCGGTGAGCCATATGATGAGTGCGGTGATGATGACGCCGACGTTGCCCAAGGCATCGCCTAGAACGTGCAGAATCATGGCATTCATGCCCATGTCAGCGTGGCTGTGGCCGCTCGCCTTCGTTCCAGCCTTTCGTGGCAGGGTGTGATTGTGGCCGTCATGCACACTCGAGTCTCGGCGGGGGCGTTTGTGAGCACCATGCTGATGAGGAGGGCTGCCGATTGTTCCGTTGTTCCCATGTCCCTTTGCGCCACTGGTGAGGAGGGGAGACTCTTCATTCGCATCAGGCTCCGGGTCGCTGACGGACCCATGTTCATCACTACCGGCAACGAAGCCGGCGCCCGAGTAGGCAGCCAAGCTAGCGGCGATAATATCCTGACGAAAGCTTGCAGGGTGAATGCTGATATCATCGATGCTGTGGAAGCGAGAGTGCCCAGAGTGCCCACTCTTGCTGCGACGACGCCCGTCGCATCCCCTTGACTGTCCGGGAATCCGGTTTCGATTGCTGGCATCGTCTCGGCCTGGTGAGCCACCCCCAAAGCGGATGTGACGGCTGAGCTCCGAGTTGTCATTTGAGCGTCTCGCAATGACTTTTGGCTGATGATCGCCGACGGCACCGTCCTCATCAGCCACGTTGCTACGCAAGTCGCCATGGTCGTCATCGTGAGCGCGAGCGTGAGCGCGAGCGTTGGCGTGGGCGTGATGATCGTGGCCATGGCCATGGCCATGTCCGTCTTCCTCGTCCCCATGCCCGTGTCCATGACCGCCGAGAACAACAAAACCAACCAGGTTGGATGCCAAGCCAGCACATCCAACGATGAGAATGAGCTTGGGCTGGGTGATCTCGGGCGGTTCGACGAAACGGGTCAGGGCTTCGAGGATGATGGACACGCAAAGTGCGATCAAGAAGACGGCGTTGAAGAACGCACCAAGAATCTCAGCGCGCACCCACTATGTAGAGAGGGAAAGAAAAAAAAAAAAGAAGAAAAAACCGTCAGCCAAGGAAAGCGTTGTCAAAACGAGGGCCAGCAAATCCAGAAAGCATACGCACCCCAAAGGTAAACTGATCGGTCGTCTCTTTCTGAGACGCGACCACTGCCCACAGGCCGATGACGAGAGAGATGATGTCGTTGAGCTGTGGCGAAAAAAAAAAAAAAAAAAAAAAAAAAAAAAAAAAAGTCAAAAAGGTCAGCAAGTCCCGTCCAGCTACACTGCACTGCACTGCACTGCACTTCACTTCATCCGGGCTTGGGGTGGGCGAACCATGTGAAAGGCATCGGCAGTCAAGGCCAGAGAATGGGCGAGGAAGCCGCACACGAGCTCGAGCAGGAAAAAGGCCGTGTCGATGGCGATCATGACCTTGATCCGAGTGCTCTTGGACCACGCCATCTTGGATGTCACGGCACACGACGGCGAAAAAGGGGCGCACTGTGGCGCAACTGGTGCTTTGTTCTTGATGATGTCTTGGAAGTGAAATGGTCTGCGGCGGCGGATGGATGCTCTCTCTGACGGGACAAAGTTTGCGACCCAAACGGAAAGAAGAGGAAAGAAAAAAAAAGACCAAGAATGATAGAATGAGGAGGAAGAAGGTGCTTGGATCTTGGATGGGCGTGTGTTTGGTGGGGTCGGCGTCCGGCTGTGGTAAGGCTGGGGTAGTCAGCAGCTGGGGTAGCCAGTCAATCGCGTCAATGGCGTCAATCCGAGTCAAGGGCCTCTTGCAAGTTGCCGTCGTGCGAGCCGGAGCATGATCATGAGCATGACCATGAGCGTGACCATGAGCGTGACCATGAGCGCGACCATGAGCGCGACCATGACTCCGACGCCGACGCGCAGCCGCGGTCCTCCTCGATGCTCATCTGCCGCAGAGAAAGCGCACCGTAGGCGCACGGTAAGCAGCGGCTTACATCACACTGCAGCATCACGAACACCAGCTCGGAAACCCGGATGATGCAGCAGGGGTCACGGCCCCGCCTCTTTTGCGTTGCATTCACACACACGAGGCAACATCAAGGAAAGCCTCGAGTCCTGCCGAGCACCGCGCTCGTCAGCCTCGCCTGTTGAAGGCGCTTCGATTGGAAAAACAGATCCGACGAGGGCGCGTTCGCGCAGTTGGACGGGCTCAAGTGTCAAGTACGGCACAGAAGGCCTTGATTATGATGAAGAGTCTTTTTTTGGCCTGTACAAGGGAACTCGGGGGAAATGGGGGAGCTCGAGACGGATGAGATGGGTGTCCCTTGAAAACACAGAGAAGCCACGTCCCTCATCGCACAACGTACTAGGCACCAAGTATCAAGGAGAAGAGAAGAACAAGCCCAGGTCAAGGACAGAAGAGGAGGCCAGTTTAAACTTCTCAACTCCGGGCGTCTACGACGTCTCTTGCACAAAAAAAGCAACCGCCAAACCCACGCACCCACGCACCCACGCACCCACGCACAGCGAGGCAGCAGCCTACGCTGGGAAAACAGTGCCGCCGGGTGAACCACCATGATATCAACGTGTGAGACGTGGATTGAGTGAGGCGCACGCATCTGGACAACAAGACGTATACACCGCCACCCGCACGTAGCCCGCCGCCTGGCCACCCTGACGGAAAACCCCCAAGTCCTAGTCCTCGCCTATGCAAGATGGACATGAATGCAGCATGCCCGTGTGTGAGCACGTCACTCATCAGTCATCACTCACTCACTCAACCAGGCTGGAAATGGCGGTCGGCAGCTCGAGGCGTTTGGCATCCTTTCGCTGCTGGGATGTGCAAAGCGGCATCGCACCCGAGATGGCGCGCCTCGGACTTTCCCGCCCTCAAACTCATCTGCCGAGCACGTTCGACGAGAAGAACACGCGACACGTCCGGACTCGTAGCACGGCATTGTGGGCTCGCGGTGCGCATGACATGGCATGGCAGACATGCTATGTTCACCCCCAAAGAGGATTCCGAGAAACTTGGACCTCAAGAGATGGACGATTCGACAGATGTACTCGGCGAAGCATGGGAGTTGCCGCCTCCCTCGAGTCGCATGGCAAAGTGTCGTCTTTTCTGACCATGTGGGGAATTGCCTTTATGCCTACTGTGTTTTTCGACAATCAGCAATTTTTCTTCTTTTTAACCCGATGTTTTTCTGTCCTTCCGTCGTGCGTTGTTTGGGTCATGTCCGGTCATCGTCACCCAACCTCGGAAAAATTTCTCTCGTCCAGCTTTGCCGGGGCGGGTCTTGCTTTTTGTCCTTTTTTTTTTTTTTTTTTTTTTTTTTTTTTTTTTTTTTTTTTTTTTTTTTTTTTTTTTTTTCGGC